GCTCAGTGCGCCACACCTGTCCTATTCGGAGAACGGGGCAGGGAGGAGAGAGAAGCCCCGCCCACGGGCAGGTTTCCGTCCGACTTGTTTGTTGCATGGACAGCTGTTTGGTGGCGCCTGTCAAAACCCGGTCCTGTTGTTTAGAAACTTCATTCTTCAGCCGCTGCAGCAGCAACGACAACAACCTCTACCGTCATGCCGCGGAGAACAGCGCAGGAATGGATCCGCTTGTCCATGCGCACGCCGGGCATCCTGATCTTCGGGATGGTGTTGGCTCCCTGTGGGTGGATCCTGGATCTGACCGCCACCGTGGCCCCCAGCTGGAGGACCCTCAACGACATCCCCAACACACCGCCCAGTGAGTACATCGAGCAGGGCATCTGGGACATCTGCAGGAGAACCACGTCCTCCGTCAGACCGGAATGCGGTCTGGAGGACACCACCTATTTCGGACACCAGATCATCGAGGTCGCACAGGGCATGATGGTGGCCTCGCTGGTCGTGACCCTGGTCGGAATCGCTGTGGCCATTCCGGGAGTCCGCTGCTGGAAAGACAGACCCAACTGGACCATGGCGGGTCTGGGTGGACTGTTGATCTTCTGCTCCGGTGTCCTGACCATCATCCCCATCGCCTGGTACACCCACATCATGAACGACATCAGCACCGTGACCCCGGTCATCAACGTCCAGGTGGGCTACTGCATCGTTCTGGGCTACATCGGAGGGATCTTCGAAGTTCTGGGAGGTTTCGTCATGTTCATCGGCATCTGTCGCTGCTGCGGCGGAAAGAACCGAGGAGAGAAGCGGCTGGATCGGGTCATGGCCACACAGTACAGGAACAACCCACCACCCAGACCCACCATCATGCCAAGTCTGGACCGGACCAGGAGCAACGCCAGCAGCAGCGTCCCCTACTCCAAGGAGTCCCTGGATGATGACGTGTCCTTCCCCCGAGCCAAGACCCCTGGAGCCCAGTCCGTCAACTCCTCCGTCAGCGGGAGACCCTACGATGCGGACTTATGAGGACCACATCTGGCCCACATCTGGCCCACATCTGGAGACTAGTGGACAGAGAAAAAACGGACTGTGATAACGGACTACAGAGCATTTGGGAAATGAAGATTTTTTTTTCTTTTTACAAAGGAGTGGTAATTAATATAATTCATGAAAAAAAAATCGCTTTAAAGTCCACATAATTATTTGCAATAAAACAATACATATTGTATGATTTTACTTTTTTTTTTGGAAAAGACGAAAACAACAACATAAAGTCTAAAAAAAGATTCTAAGATATAACCTCACCAGGGAAAGTATTGTAGAAGTATTGAAGGTAAACATCATTAATTTTACTAATGGATTGTACACTTAAAATTTGTATACATTTGTCAGCAGTTTCCACACAGACTTCTGTCACGTTGTGCATTCCAGGTAGAGATCATTATTTAAAGTTTACGCAGTGTCTCACTACTTAATTGAAATAACTTAAACAACTTAACAACTCACAGCTGCAGGTGAATGTGACTCCCAGTGAGACCAGTTATTATGGGATGATTGATGTAATTCCAACATAATTGATGTGCCTTAATCCGTGCTGTCGTCCAATCATCTTGAAGGAGGAGATTTTATGAAGGTGAAAATGGAAACATAGGATTTCTGTGAAGGACGTGTAAAAAAGTGAAGGATTTTATGAAGGTTTCTGTAAATATTTTTTTTTTCTGTGATGGACATGGTTCTTTATCCCTCGACTGCTGGCCAATGAATCCTGAACCTTTTTGTAAATAATGTATTTTCTTATGCACTTTCCAACGATGGTGGAGTGGCGTGGAGCAGACCACCGTCGTCCTCACTGCTCTGTGGTACAAGTGCTGATGAATAAATGCTCATGTGTTCAAGAACATAACCAACGTCTGGCTCTGTCTTCTTTACATCCACTGCTCCTTTCTCAGATTTTACTGCTGCAGTGGATTTAAAACTAAACAACTCAAACAAACAAAAACACCCTGCACCGTGATTCCAGTTTGTCCAGTTGTACTGCACCAACAGGCGGTCACAAAGACAGTCTCAGCTCAGAACATGACAACTTGTTTCCTCTGTGGATCCATGTGAGCCACACTCGTCCAAACTCTGGCTCGAGGGCCACTTGTGGTACTTAGTGAGATGTTTGCGGTATTTTATTCAGCTGTCAAATACTGTATGTTTAAAAGGCATTTTTGTATATTCATGTACATTGTACTTCTCTCTTACCTCTATCTAATAGTGGGCTAACCTTTAGCTAAAAATTGTGCTTTGGTCTCTGCTAAATGAAAACTTTTTTGTCTTGTCACTTTATTTATATCATTTATTTCTACTCTAACTGCCTTTTTCAAACTTTCCTTGGCTATTTCTCAAATCACTTTTAGATAGGGCTTCTTGGCAACATGGTGGCTTTTTCTAAACTAACTTTGGGTTTTTTAATGTTTTATTTTGACTTTAAAACCCAATCAACTGTATAATCTGGTTTTTATCTAGAAATAAGAATATCATGTATCAGTGTAGTTTCACCTGTAAACAGACGTTGTTACAAACACTGTTCAAACATGAGAGCAGACAGACACAGACAGAGACTGCAGCATAAATGTGTATTTTTTTTTCTCTCTGCCACACAGTCTGTCAAGCGTTCACCTCATAAGTACACAGATAATGTAGCCTGACTGGTTTGAGAGACTGGTTCCTGTAACAGACTGGTCCAACTGCATTGCTGCTTCTGTTTGAACTGGATTAAAGAAAACACTCGCTGACAATTGGTCCTTGTTACTGAGCCTTTTCTTCTTTTTTTTTTCAAATTTGGAACCAACCTGTTAACTGCTGCAGCCAATCAGAGCTAAGAGTACTGTTTGAAGGCATGGACCAATCAGGTTAAAGTACTGATTTAAATGACCTTTTATTTTGGCTCTGAATTCAGTAATAGTTTCTTCTGTGTATTTTTGACTAATCTTCAGAGTGATGGCTGCTTGGCTTCAGTTTGCCATACTGAGGCATCTAAGACATTCTGGAACCTTTATGACACTCCTACTTTTTAGTTAAGTTAAAAAAAAAACTACACTTTTTTCTCCAGGTTCACAACCCTCCCACCACCCTGAGATTTATGACTTGACTCCAGCCCCCACTTCCAAACAAAAATAATAATTAAACAATAAAACATGAAAAGGGTTTTGATGATGACAAAGTTCATTTTTGCTGGTTTTTACTCAGGTCTGATGTTTTGTAATGTTGCCACAAAAAGAACTGTGTGAACCCAGTCGTTTTTCACAGTTCAGGTGAGGTGATGTGTGATGTCGTGTGTCAGGGTGTGACTAACTAAAAATACTCTTTTTGATCGGCTACATTTTTTCTCTGGAAATATAATCATACTTGTGAAATGTGGGCTCCAAAAATAACCTTTAATCGCAAGTAAGAGATTCCACAAGGGATGACAAGTGATTAGAAATTACTGTTTACCAAAACATCAAGAGAACGAGTCAGGAACCAACTTATTTTCATAAAATCTCCAAATATCATGTAAGAAAACTAAATCTATTCAAATTCAAAGTGTAAATCCCTGTGGATTTCACAATTATGACGTAAATACCTCGAGTTTACCTTGAATAATTAGGCATGACGAGACTCTGCCATGTATTTCCCTTGGAATTGAATGAGATCCTTCTGTAAAACAACGATGCCACATCAACTCCACCCCATCAACTCTCAACGTGTAGTTTATTTCCTCTACAATGTCCATTTTTGATTTGCTTAAAAGCTGAACCATCACAGTTAAACCATCACAGTTGAAAACAGTGCCACAGATTGGACAACTGCACCAAGGTTAGCATTAGTCATGAAATATTTTAAAATTAGTCAAACATGTCTGCAAAATTTAAGAATTAAACCAGGAGACAACTAAACTTTGTCAAAAGCTAGCAAAACCAAATATATCATCCAAACAGAAAGAGCATTATTCATTCAAATTAACCCAGATATAGAGGAAAGTTAGCAAAATAAAGGGGGTAGGATAGCTAGAATATGCTTGAAAAAGATCTCAAAAACATCTCAGGACACGGATATCAACACAGAGACAAAATTATACCATAGGTCAATTTCTGCAAGACTATTGTATACCAAGTTAGCTAAAAGTGAGAGATAAAATAGCTATAAGGATGCTAACTAGCTAAAATACAACAAAGGGACTAAAAACCATCATAGAGTATTTATAATAAAACTGCTGTGATTTGTGAGAATACATTAACTTTAAGTTATGATTAGCATCTTTGAAACCATCTAAATCAAAGCTTTCCTTTAAAGGCTAGCATTTTAGACCACAGCGTATAAGTTCACCACTAGATGTTGCTAAATCCCACTCACTGTCTCTTAAACAAACACAAAAACAGGGACAGGGAGAGATCCCATCACTTCCTGATCAGGTTGCTGTGAACATTAGCAAAAGCTAAGGCTAATAAGTCATGGCTCATAGCCATAGTTTAAACAGATACACATGGTGATGGACAGACACTTGGTATACACTTTGACATAACAACCTTGTATTTGCATTTAACAAACAAAATACAAAGAAGAATTTTAGTAAACATTACCTTAGCGAGAGCACAGGTTAGCTACCATAGACAACCTAAGCTATCACTAAGACAGTAGCTCGTCATTAGCTAACAGTCTTAGTGCAAAGGTCTAACACAAAAACATTTTTATAATAAAGAACTATTTACAATAAATGCTAAAAAATTATACAATTATAAACAAGTAATACATGCTAACAATGTGTAGCATACAATTACTGCAATGACTGGAAATCCATTATACGTTCCTTGTCCTGTATTTAGTGTATGTGATATATACAATAAATGTATTTTGTCTCTGTTTCTCTTGAAATTATCCACATCACTTCAGTAGAAGTGAACTGGAGCGCAGTTTTACCTTTTCATCCAGGAGTCTCCCAGATGAACAGGTGAAACATCTAGAAACCCAGGCGGTCCAGTTGACTTCTACTCAACTGCTGTGGATAAAATAACCTGGACAACTGAGAACCTTAACAGTCTTTAAATTATTTTTCTCTAAAGTCATAGTTTCTTGCCTGAAATAAAGGCAAAAAGAGCTCTGTTAGTCATGGGCCTTTATTCATACACATACAGTAAAGTGCATTTTACAGTATACTGAGGTCTGTAGGAATACTGTATGGAAAATACAGTAAAATCCAATTGACCTCTGACTACATGAGTGAGTTAACATATATATTCTACAAGTGAAAAAATAGAAAAACATAGAAAAATATTTATATACATGACAATGATGTCACCGGTGCGGGTTTGTTGGTGGTAGGGGTAGAAATAAAAAGCTTTGTTTTGCTTTGTGCTCAGCTTTACCACCTAACCCTAACCCTAACATCGTCTGCCATCATTGATCATTAGTTCAGTGAAAATCAATACTTACATTAAAACGAGACAACAATTCAGTCAAGAGTCTAAAGAAATGAGCAGGTAATGAAACACAAAGCCTACAATAGTGCAGTCTTAGACCTGATGTCCTAACGAGAGTGTAATTTTACAGGACAACTGCTAACGAGACGTTGGTCTAAAGTCACAGGTTCCTTCAGGTCGAAAGCGTTTTTGCAAGTGATAATCTCTAAACAAGTCAATGGTGGCTAACATCTCACATATTATACATATATACATATATTAAAATATACTCAGTCGCAGACTGATGTGCCTACGGCCAGCCTTCTCTCCACAGCGCAGCCAGGCTGCTGGACCAGTTCAACCAAAACGGCACCTTCGTTCCAGGCCACATTGAGCCATAGACGGCTCTGAAGAACAATGTTTAAAACATGTAAATTTACACTAAAGTGATGAAATGAATGGCCCTTTATCCAAAGTTTTAGTAATACTTCTAGAAGTATTCTCTAGGCTTATGTAGTCGACATACAGTATATATACATAATGGATATACATATACATATATACGTGTATATGTGTGTGTATATACATATATGTACGCACATACTTTTACATATATGTACATATATATTTCATTATTGTATATGGTGTGTTTTCATTCAAATGTTGTGTTGAAAAGCAAAGTATTGTTTGTCAGTCAGCAACATTAGTTTGTAAACATATCAGTATAAATTGGACCAATCACTGTCCCATCTATACACGGCCAAAGTTCAGATAATAATTCAGTGTTGGAGTTTCTGGTCTACAATAGTTCAAAAAAGAGGCATTGTTGTTGAAAAAAGCTAGAATGGATTAAAAATAATCGAGAGAATCAATCAAAGTTATGTACTGTGAACCTCTTGGACAGTTAAAAAAGGAGAAAAATAATGTTACAATCTTTTTTTTCATTTTTTTAACATATAAACCGAATATTTCAAACAAATATATATATTTAAAGGAGTAATCCAATAATTCGTACATTTTACACTCTTTTCTCATACAGCGATTTCATAGCTGAATTTTTCTGCCCGTCGTCTCCTGTGGAAAGATTAATAAACATTATTTAATCATCGCTTTTCATTGTCTGATGTCTCAATAATTTAGTTCCATGACAGTCATGTTAAAAAGGGGAAATAGTGAAATGTATTTTACACAATTGAAGGTTAATTTGACTAGATGGAAATAAAGGGAAATACATTTTTGTTCTACCTGCGGTTTTTCTTTTGTCTCTGTCTGCACTTGGCCAAGATGAACGCCAGGATCAACAGCCCTATGATGACGCCCAGCACACCCAGGGTGAGCGGCAGACTGAGTGACCCGTGGACGGTGTCGTCACAGGACTGGCCCTGGTAGCCCAGGTCACACTCACACACCACATCCACTCCTGCACCCACAGGAGGCACGCAGGTGCCGTGGCTGGAGCAGTGGAGCTCACGGCACGTGGGCAGGTCTGGATGCAGAGTAGAATTTGTAGCCATTGTACAAAAGCAGAAAAAGGGAGTGGAACTGGAGGGATAAAGAAAATGAAGACCTAAGGGAATGGAAGGGTTCAAGAAAGGAGACGGATGAATAAATGGACACACCCAGTAACACAAAAGGTCAGAGAAACCACACAGCAACAAAGACACATTGTGAGTTTTCTCTGTGTGGTGACTGGACTTCACCACAGGTAAAAAAAAAGAAAGAAATTGCTGCGATCTGTAAATTTGTGATTAAATTCTTAAAATCTAAACATCTCTAATGTTTTTGTAACTTTTTTTAGTACAAGTACAACAAATCAAATCAACAAATCAACAAATCAGACAACAGTGTGTAAAGTTATTCAATGATAGCTGTATGTTAACATAACGATGATAATGATAATGAGCAAAGCCGAGAAAGTTGCATAAATGTCAAAATAACAAAATATAAACAAAGTTTGCCCTTAAATGGAAAAATGTAAACAAAGCAAATAAAAGTTAGCAACAAAGCTAAAATTTAGCCAGAATTGTTAGCTATAAAATAAAAGATGTTATAGATACCCATAAGGTAGTAATAGTAAATAGTAAATTCATAAAAGGCAGTATTTCCATAAGATGGCTAAAGTCAGACTTTACAAAACTGAAATTTTGAAGAAAGCTAGCCAAGAAAGACGCTAAAGATCATCAAACCTCTTAAGTAGTCCAAAAATTCTAACACAACACGCAAAAAGCTCAAAGCTATTAATAAATTAGTAAACTTAACAATTAATAAAATCTCTAATAAATACAGCATAGCAACTAAGGGTTGGTAGAGCTAAGCTAAAGTTTGCTCAATTATGCTAATGTTAGCCACTAGCAGCTTAATCATGTTTTGACAGTTTGCACAAAGAATGCAAAAGAGAGTAATAACTAAATAATTCAACCTGAAATGGACTAGTAATATCAGACGATAAAGATAACAAACATTAACCAAACAACAAAGTTAGCTTAACATACCAAATATCAAAGTGAGAGCTAATTAAAAACAATTAATTTATCAATCAAAATGCAGCCAAATTTGGCTTCAGGTTAGGTCCTGATTAACAGGCTGCTGATTCCACACAAGTTTCAAAAAGTAAAAATAAAAGTGATTTGTTTAAAAACAAGCAAAATCTTCGAACATATTTAAAGCATATAAACGATCAAATCTAGTTCCTGGAGTTCTTTTGTGTCTGGGTTTTACACACACAAATCTAGAGAGTGTGTATTGGCAGGACAACAGTAGACTGATGTAGTATCTGTTATTTGACTGCTATGTCCAAGTAAATAAACAAATAAATATCAACACATGAAAATACAAGAGAAAAAACCAAAAGAGATGCAGCGGTTTACCTTTTGGAAAATCAATATAACCTGGCTGAAATGGCGTCCTGTAAAAAATGAAAACAATAATTTGGTCACAGGTTCAAAAGTAGCTGTGAAAGCTAAGAATTTAATCTCTGGTCTGTTACAGATTAATCTGAGTTGAAACAGAACTAAAACAGAACACAGACACGTGGCCACAGTTTACATAAACTAAAATGTGGTTTTGAAGTCGCTCCACTTCTCAGAATTCTGGACTCCAGGTATTCTTGTAAAGCGGCGGCGGCAGCAGGAGGAGGGAGCAAAGAGAAGAGAAATGACAATCATGTACATACAAGCCCAAAGAGCATCGTCCTGGTGTCTTCAGAGCTGAAGGTCTGCTGGCCGTCTGTGTGCAGATGGTTCCTCAGGGCTGCACAGTACCTTTATTACTGAGGAAGCAAGTGTGAAAAGGGAAGAGGCAGGAAGAGGAAGAAAGCTGGAACCCTGAAGAAAAACCTCTTTTCGATAAGCACACAGA